TGCTTTGTTTTGGCTCTCTACAGCCTTGTTCTGATTTTCAGGCCCTGTGTGGCGCTCCAGACATGCCTGACAAAGTAGCCTGCGCACGGTTCTGTTCAAGGTAAGCTGATCACGCTTATATTCATTCGACCAACAGTGCAAGTCTCCTGAGGCTCGCGCAGTAGTGGGGCGCAGTATTTGCAGACTTGCATGTGCCGGCATGGCAGGAGGAGCACGGAAGGCCGTGCATTGTAGCACACCTGTCTTTCCGAATCTCGGACCCATTCGAGCTGCATTAGAGTTAACCCATTTCCTGCAACAAAGGTTCAATGCAGTCGGGCTCATCTCCATAAGCCGGCTTGGCAGAGTGCGTCCTGAGGCATGGAGCATCTGGCTGAATGCCTTCATGCTGCTACGGCGACAACGACGACTTCTGACTACTAGTCCTGCTACAGGTGGTGGTGGTGGTGGTGGCGGTAGCCGTAGCCGTAGCAGTCGTGGTAGCAGTAGATAGCAGTAGCAGTAGTAGTCGTCGTCGTAGAAGGAGCAGTATCAGTAGCCGCAGTGGTAGGAATAGCAGCAGTAGAATAGCAGTAGCCGTAGCAGTAGTAGTAGCAGTAGTAGTAGTAGCAGTAGTAGTAGTAGTAGTAGTAGTAGTAGTAGTAGTAGTAGTAGAAAATGATAACACTTGGAGTAGTTGACCAGTAGGTGCAGCTGCATCAGTTGGAATCAGCTGGCATCCGAGATCGGCTCCTGCGCTCAACAGCTTCGTCAGGGGCATGGAATTTCCTGAGACAAGACTTCAATGGAAGAGCCCAAAAACCAGTTCGAGCTTCAGTTCAAAGGGCCTTTCCTTTGTCCAACGTCTTGAGCCAAGCAGCGCCATTGCAAGCAGCAGTCGGCGCCAGCCGTCCAAGGCCGACGTCCTTGAATTCTGAAACGACTATCCGACTATCCGTGGCTATCCGGCAGTCATGTCTCTGCCTCGAGTTTTTCAACAACTCGAAACAAGGGCTGTGCATGGGGCTGGACTTGAGCCGAGCATCGTGTCTTCGCTGTCGCTGGCCGTGTCCTGCAGTGAGCGCAGGAGGTTTGTTGAAGACCAGACCATGCGAGAACATGACGGCTCCCGTTGAGAGAGCATGGTTGCCAGATCTCTCTGATGCGCAGAGCCTCCCCTGCGTTCTCTGAGAAAAGACGATCCAGGAACCGGACCTGCAACGCGTGCTGCGCAAATACAGCTTGTCTCAAGGCTCAGGGCTGTGCCAACCCGGGATAGCATGGAGGCAGCAAAACGCATGGTGGTTTCATGCACACTGGGCATCTGGCGTAGTTCACACGGCCACCTGTGCCGAGGCAGTGCAGACTTGTGTAGCGCATCTCGTCTGGCAGGGTGAAGCTGCTGGCCCGTCAGTATAATCTATCGGGATGGAGAGTTCACCCAATGTATGATCAGGATAGATCAGGCAAGTCACCATCGTATCCCGTCCTTGTCAGAGTGTGGGAAGGGGGGGAAGCAAGTGACGCTTCCCTGCATTCGCTCGAACAGTGTCCGTGTATGCATCAGGGCATGCCAAGTTTCTGTTGAAGTAGATGCAGGAAGGTTTGGAGACTGATCTTCGAAGGCAGGGTCTGCATTACCTGTGCAGATCTTTCGGGTCAATGACACTGCCGCTAGTGGTGAGATCCACGGAGGCGAACAGACAAGTTTGGGAGATTCATGGACGTTCATTCCAATGCCTTCCACAGCATGTCTCGATCAACAGTCCCATCACCCAGCTTGTCCTCAGCATCCGCGAAACAAGTGCAAGAAGTCGGAGCTCTGCAGCATTGTCAGAAAAATACAAGCTTCCTTTCCAGCGTCGACTCGGGGATTTTACTACCTATCAGGCGGCCGGTGTCTGTAGCCAATTCTGAACCCAGTCACATATCGTCGGAAAACCCGCTTCACGATGGCAGCTTCACGTTCGGGCTGGGCCATTGGCTTGGCTGAAGCTTCCGGAACTTTGACAGGAACCTCTTCGCTTGCTTCTGAGACGCAGGTTTCCTCAAATGTCACAGGTACACCTGGACACCTTGCTGTCGGGCATGTTGTTTGCCGCATTCAAGCTAAGCTGCAAAATTGGGCCGATATGCGAGCACAAACCAATACCGCAGGCTTCAGGGTTTGCTCTGGTGACCGCTTCTTGCTAGCTTCCTCAAGCAATTGTTCATGTCAAAAGATGCCACAGACAAGTCTGTTGCAAGAGTTTGTAGCATCGTCCGCTTGATTCAATCCGTCTCTCGACGAGCTGCTCTGCTGTGACACGCTGGAGCCTACCTTCTGTACAAACGTTTCAGAAGTCAGCCCATGTCACGACCCAAATAAGTTTTGGGAGCAATCATGTTTGGGCAAATTCAGTCAGGTCTGTGCCAGCTGGTGCTTAGTGCGACAAGTTAGGTTGATCCACTAACCACTAGGAGGTCAAGCCAGTGTTTGTCACATGACTTGTTGATGCACGGCAAGATGTCGCCTACGCAAAGTACATGTAAACTAGCTACGTAGAGCATCCATTGAACACGCAACTTCAGTCCATCTCTTCCTTCACTTTTGCTGCTTTGAGAGCTGCACCTTAGCCGCACCGAGAACTGCGGTGTAGTCGTCAGATTCTCATGTTCGCTTTTACAAAGACCAGTGTGATGCCCGGTGCCTGCTGCCAGCGACTTCCAGCCGGATGAGCTTGAGAATTTTGCATCCAAGCCAGACGTGTCAAACCAGAACCCAAGATATCCAAGAAGGTAAGGCGACGGCCCATAAGAGGATCCTCCTCCTCTTCCGTGTCGTCGTCCTCCTCTTCGGCCTCTAGCGCTTACATACCACAGGCCGGAATCAGGATCTGAAAAGCCTAGGCTGAACCTTCGCTTTATCCAGCATGTTCTATATTCGGCCATTACCATATGTGGCTGCGCAGAACGCTGAAGGCTGCTGGTGTGTTACTAGAGCTACTCCTGCTGCCACTGTTGCGACAACGACGGCTACGATACTACCACAACTGCCACAATGGCAACAACAACAACAACAACAATAACAGAGCGACAACCATAGTCATACTACGCCTGCAGTCACCACGACTGCCACGACTACGGGCACAAAACCCAAGCACACCTCTCCAGCGTTACTTTTGTTACTGTCTGCAATGGACAATCCTAATTATTCTCAAAGCCATTGCCAACTCTCTTACCTTCTATTAATTACAGCAACTATTCTCAGCACTGTTATCTGCTTCATCAGTTATAGTCAATTAATACTTCCCGCTGCATCCCGATGCTGTTCTCAGCTTATCCTTGCTCTCATATGTTTTGGTCGCTACTTCCCGCTGTGAATATTTTGGCAGTGTACTTTCCGGGCAGTGGCCTTGACCTTCTCCGTCTTGACTGCCTCGGTCTTGACGGGTTCCGACTTGACTGCCTGCATCGTGCATCAACTGGATAGGCGGCATCTTTGAACTAACGTTGCAAATATCATCCTCGTACCCTGTTCCGAGTCTGCAGTGTTGGTTGTTCAGTTCTTCCTACGAAGGCCGCTTGAGTCGATGTGCAACGAGCATCTCGTACCCGCTCACGGGATGTTACGAACCCAACTCCTACTTACGCATTGTACGCCCGCCGCGCCCGGCAGCCCGCCTCGGTTTTGGTGGCCACGCCTTTCCTGGAGGATGCAGCCGCAATCAGCGCATCGAGGGCATTGGTGTCCTTAGCCGCAGCTGGCACTTGCTGTCGCAGTCGTGCCAGGTCACCTGTTGCACTCCAAGTTTCATCCTCCTCTTCCTCCTTCTCCATCTTTACCTCGTCTCACAGAAACCCTGGGAGGCTGGAGTATAGAGCTCCTGCACGTGGCCAGTCTCGCGTCGGCGACTTGGGCCCTGGCAGGGTGCAGCTCCTGCGCCGGATCTTAAGTGGGCTCTGTGTGAGAATACTGAGTACCGTCTGACAAGCAACGCAACATGCGAGAAGTATATCTGAAATTCCCGCTTCGAAATAATTAGCGCGGTTCCTCCACCCTAGCGGAACACGAGGGGAACTGCTGATCAGGTGAAGTAAAGTGCAAGTTCCCTTTTCTTCAAAACTTCAAGCGGCATCTCGGCCTGTTTCACCGGTGGCAGCGGCACATCTGCCGACAGTCGTGAGGACCGCTGCCGTTTGCGTGGGGGTTCCTGGCTTTTTTTCAGGCTTCCTTCAATCAGCTGCTCCCGGCTGCACTGCGGGTTGCACATGAAGGTATGCACAGATTGCATGTTCGGTCCACTTCTTGCAACTTATTGGTGTGTCGCTGAGGCTCTTACGACGTTTACGAGGGCCCTGGAAGTCTCTCTGAATATCAACTTATCTGGTATCGCATTACTGAATAAAAATGGACGAGTCTAAAGGGGGCCTGACATACGAACCCACGCGAGTGCATGCAGGCGCACGTGCGGACATAAACACATGCAACACAGGTGTGGGCTGCATCGATACTTACGAACGGGCATGCACACCCTGAGCTGTGCTTCCTACCGGAAAAGCGTCAACACTCTTACCTACAAAACGTTCGTCGAACCTGCATGATGTTTTTCTATGGAAAATCAATGCACGGCAACAGGGACGGCTGAATTATGAATGCACGGCCAGACAGGACCCAAACGGCAGGATGCGAATGGTTTTGGTCTGCTGCGACGAGTATGCTTGATCCCTCCTGTCATTGCCTCAGAGGCAGTGCTCCTGCGAGCACCTTTAAGACCTAAGGATAAAGGAATTGAGCTCTGCACCAGAAGCGTTCGCTGCAGTGCAGGGACACATTAGCAATGTACTCCGCCGGCCGCCAGCACTGAGTGGCGCCGCCGGAAGCAAAGGGTTCCAAGCCATGCACGCTAGCCAGCCAGAACGGGCGAGCAGCTAAAGCCTTCTGGTACATGTAACTAAGAGCACACAGGCCTGTGTCTGTGAACCGACAGGGTATGCTGCATGCAAGATTCGGGGGCCGTGTCAGAAGCCAGCGCCAGGGATTAGTTCAGTGTTTGCTCGTAGAAACCCTTCACCTTTTCTGCGATGGTGTCTTTCACACCACTCTCCAAGTGAAAGGCATGCTCGAGAGCTTCCAAGGTCATCCACTGCATGTTCTCCAAGCTGAGACACATCTCTTTAACGCAAATGACAAGCTCATCGGTGAGCGAAGATCGGAATACTGCTGGATCGTCCGAGTTGATGGAGCAGGAAGTGCCGTCCAGAAAGAAGCGACTTATTGGGTGTGTTTTCCATTGAAGTGACCCATCTGCCTTCTCCAGCTCAATAGCTTGCGTGGAAACAGAGGAGGTAGGACATAGCTCGAAGTGCACACCCTTGCTCCTGGCATAGTCGTAAGCCTGCATGCCCACAGATCTGTAACCATGGCCTATTCGAGTCGCACCATAAACATCCATTGCCCTGCAAACGTTGTCGCCTCAGCCATCTTTCACAGCGCCAAACAAAAGCCCTGAAGTGATGAACAGTCGTATGCACTGCAGCTACGGCAGCTAACCGAGCCTGGTCCAGCCTCAGCAGCATGCACCGTGATACCAAGGCCCTTCTTTTGCGCCATAGCCATGGCATCCCGGTGTGCATCATGCAATGCGCCGTCCTGCAAATGCCCACTGAGTCTGGAATGGCAAGCAGACTCTTTTGAAGCGTGGCTCCTTTTTCAGTACTTCATTGTTTTCTGTTGGTCCCTCCTTTTGTTGCTGCTGAAACTCGCACCTCATTGCGCAGTGGCCGTTAGTCCCACATCTTAAGCTCGACTCCGCCTTCGGCAATGGATGTTGATCCCGTTTTGTAAACCTACCTGCGCATTAGACGATGGCGGTTGAGCAATCCCATATTGCAATCCCCGAGCCCTCATTTGGCAATGGCGGTTGCTCCCATTTCGCAAAGCCGATCCCTCGCTAGGCGATGGTGGTTGATCTCATATCTGAAACCCGACCCTCGTCAGGCGATTTCCACTAAGCCAGATCTTGAATCTGACCCCCCAGGACAGGTAGGTGATGGTGGGGGCAGGAGACCAGAGCCGGGATTGGGGATAGGGACTACGGCTAACCAAAAAGCCGACCAAAGGAGGAACGAAAGGGACGAGAAATGTATGCCCTCTTTGGACTCGTGCAAGCCTCGAAATGCATCTCGCCAGCTGCGATGTCTACTCCAACCACACCCTCGTTCCTGAACTCCTGAGGCAGCTGAGGCAAAGCAGTTCGGATGGCTTAGGGACCGCATGAAGCCGAGATGGCCCATCCATCAGCTTCGTCCTCCGCAAGTGCCATCGTCTGGGCAGACCACGCCGGTTGCGCTGCAATGCAGCACAGGATCTGCTGAACCATCACGCCAAACTCGGCTTGGCCTTGGTAGATGTGCTGCAATGGGCGTCCACGGTTCTTAGCATGGGCAGCTTGAATGCTGTTCTGGTGTCGTACTCAGGAGCCTGCCCTTCCGCAGGCCTGCGCACACGGCCTGGGAACCGGGCTGAGGTCATGAGATGTGGCGACAAATCAACCTGTCAGTAACATCGTAAAGCTCTTTCAGAACTGCCTTGACGGCATCTGCTGCTTTCGAGGTGTCTGCAATCTGTCCATCCTCCCCTTGCGGGAGGAACTCAAAAGGAGAGTACCTGCAGGGATCCAGCACTGCTGCGACAGCTGCTGCGACCTTGCTGAACATCTGGGCCTCACTTCCGTGTAGATGATGTTGTGTTTCTTCCGCTCGCGGCAGAACTCGAAAGCCAGTTCTTCGAGCAACTCGAACCGGCCACGGACAATGGGCAAGAAGGTGTAGAAGCAGTCGAGTATGGGAAACAAGCCGATGATGTCGCTCCCAACCTCACTTCCCCAACCACCCTTGTGAGGAGGTGCGAAGGTGGTCACTTAGCTCAGACAACCCTGCAAGTAGTGTAGAAATGCATTGCGTTGCCACGCAGGCAGATTGGATAGAAAGGTGCATCAGAAGCACTGAGTCATGTACTAAAGAAGTCACATGTCTGACTTGCTCGCGAGTGTTTTGTTTTCAGTCTGTGCGTCTAGTACAAACAAGTTGACAATGGCAGGAAGTCTGCCTTTGTCAAGCTCGCAATCTTTCCAACACATCGGCAGCGCTGCCTGCGGTTGTGCGCAGCAAGTCCGTCGGCCGCCGCTCTGTTATCCGTAATTATCCTCCGCCGAGTGTCGGTGACGAGAGAGGTGAACTTTGCCAGGTCCCCATGGCATTCGCGCACCGCCTTTTGCACCTCGGACTCAGCAGCCACTTTCGGCCTAGTACGCCCGGTGCTGTGTTTGCCTCTGCAAGCACCTATGTAAAGAAACGGAGAAGGAATGTCAGCGTCCAGTCCGAGGCACTTCCAGCATCTTGCCATCCCATGGAGTCCGCACTTTCTCCGGGAGTTCCTCTCACCCCGGAATGGGCTTCATGTATGTTTGCATCTTGTTGGGCTTACTTTTTGAAACTGGAAGCTCGGCAAAGCCAGTCGAGGACTGCAGAAGACTAACAGCAGATCATTAAATGCATGTGTCTTTAAATCGCCGAGGCGTACACCTTGGTTGCGAATTATTGATGTGCCATGAATATCTCAATCCGCGATTGCGGCCACAGTTGGCCATAAGAACCTGGCGCGGTGCACCAGTCTCACTGCACTTCATCCCACGCGCCATAGAGGAGGTCGAACAGGTCTATGCAGGCGTCGTTGTTCTTTTGCCGCGCTTGACCTCGCCATCGTTGTCCCTCGCTGTCCTTTCTTCAGCAGCAGCTCCTGGGCACGGTCGATGCATGCGGCGCGGTGGGGTCCGTCCATTGTGGGTCTTCAAATCCTGCTGATGCCCCGAGAGCGTGGAGCTGCTGTTGCAAGGCTGTGCAGTGCGCTGTGCCTTCGACGGCCATGCGTCGAATCCGAATCCGAGGAAGTAGTTACGTAGTTGTATGTAGCCACATGTAGTGAGTAATGTAGTGCTGTGTCGCCATTGTGGCTCTGCGAGTTGTCTAAGCGGGCATCCAAGAGGAACCGCAAGCATCCGTGCGGCCTTCGGATGCTGCATGGGATCGGCGGTTATCTTTCAAGTCCTTGCAAAAGCAGCTTCATACACTGAGTGACCGCGGTCTGCGATGCGGTGGAGCGCCACCACACCATCGTTGCTATTTTGTGGCTGTGTTCAAAAGCATCACCAGGATCTCAATCTACCCAAGTACGACAGCGAACTTCAGAAGTGTCACAGCATCATCTTTCCGGACCTCGACGCCGGGTGAAGCGTTCAGCTCTCTACACGCCGGACCACAAGAAGCAAAGATTGAGTGTCGCCATCCCGGCCAAGACCGCCTGCGGCACACCTTCGAGAATTAATTGCAATCCAGAGCCGTGCAGCAGTACTGTCAGATTCTGGGGATGCAGATGTGCTTGGTCGCAGCTTGAGCCGTAGCGATTTTTGCTGGTCCTACTGCGGATGCGAGCTGTTCAGCTGAATGGCAGTGTCCGTTGGGCGCCCTCGCGAACCCCTCGCACTGGCCTCTAAATGAGCCTGCGCAGCGCGGAACAGTACTCCAGCATCAAAGGAACCGTCCAGGTGCACGTGCAACTCCACCTCGCAACGTGCCACTTCGATGCACTTCGTGCAACGCAAACGGGATCCAGCTACTGAGCTAAGAGGGCCTTGGGGGCTGCAAGCAGCAGCTCCTCTGTGCTGCGAAGTTCGCAGCGTGGGTTGGCCTTAGCGGAGCGGCGCAGCCGGCGTCGACTCGGCTGGACGTGTCCGACAGTGTTTTTTTGCGTATCATGTCTGGCTCATTTCTCGTCCTGGTAAATGCATGTACACGCAGGACAGGATTGCCCGTCAAGCGGCCATCCAATGCTAGATTCCGCTGGAGATGCTCCAAATTAATACGTACACGTTTCTACTGGTTGCTCCTACTAATACTGATCACTATCCTAGTAGTATTCCCTGAACTTCTTGTCACATTAGCTGACCTGACCGGAAAGACTCGGAATCTGGAGCAAAGTAACCTCTTGACGCCCAACAGGTACAGGGTTTGACCCTTGCATTATTTTTTGCTGCTGTCTGGCCGCACTTGCCGCTCTTTGTTGCTCGTCTTCGGGCCTGCCGGCACCTGGACGGGGACATGCAACGAGTGCTTCAGGTTGTGGGCTTAACCTGGTTGTGCGTTAGGCCATCTGTCGGAAAAGGCTGCAGCTTAACGCTTGCCTAGAACGAGGCCTACATAGGCCTACATGGCCAGACGGAAGAAGAGCCTCCTGCAGCCAAGGTTCCCATCATGTTTCCCATGGCCGATGTGCAAGTCTGCAGCCCACAGGCTTGAACCCAAACTGCAGTGACTTGGGCTTTGACATCGCCCGGTGTGGCTGCTGGATGGCAGGGGTTCAGTCTGGGTAGAGCTGCATGACATGAAGCACAAACATGCAAGAGCCCTCTTGCCGTTCCCAGATGCAAAACGAGTCGGGCCACCACGATCGGCTCCGGTGGTGGTGGTGCGGGTTCGACGCCTGCGTAAGCCTGCGGCTACTACGTCTGGTCTCTTGCACCTGCCTAGACGCTTTGTCAACAGACCTCTGCGCCCTTGAGCTTGAGCTCCTCCACGAACTCATCAAAAAGCCTCAGCACAAGCTCATTTTCTTTCTCTTCGATGCGATTGCTCGAAGCGCCACTTCCGTCGAGGCACTCCATGGCCACAGCGCCTTCGCCCTCGCGAAGCCCAGCGATGCGCTGATCCCCGGAAGCCTGAAGCATCTCCTGAGCGCCGGTGGTGTCGGGGACTTTGTCTACCGTGCCGATTCGGACATGTAATGTAGCGGGCATGCAAGAGAAAAGACAAGAATGCATGAAGTTGCGGAATTCACCTGCAATTGACGTGTTTGCTTCTGTTTCCCTGTGGCCGTCACGCTCTTTCGGACTGCATGATGCACATACGCACTCAAATGTCAACCTCTTTTTCTTGCTTGCTTTCTTACTTCGAAAATGAAGGAAAGGACTGGGACCGCGACTAGATTAGATATAAACCCCGTGTCTCTGCTTCTTCTGCATAATGTAAGAGCAACGGCAACACACCCCCACTCCTGTGCGAGTCCGCGCACGGGGTTACAGTTCATCCTTCTTCGTTGTCTTTCGGGCGCGCCTCCTGTCTCTCCATTCCTCTGTCTCTCCTCTCCGTTTCTCGCTCTGCGGGCACGATGAGGAGTACGGAGCATGTGTCTGTCTGCCTCGTGTCTACACCCTACGCATTTCGTTCGACTCAGACCAGCTGTTGACACTGTTAGGTCTGGAGTAAGCAAAGCTTGCCTCCAATTGCGCCCAGCTGGTCCCCATGGTGAAGCGCTCAGCTGCGGCGAGCTCCTGGCATGCTGTTCGACAACTGGCCACAATAAAGAGTTGAGTGAGGATTCGGGCAGTCTTCTAGAAGACACGATTCTATGCATTACACAAAGAGGAAATAGCCGCTAGCTTTCTCTGGGGGAAGCAGCCCGAGCAACACAGCTCTCTCACACTTCCAAGACGTCACACAGTGCTTCGAACCCTGCTGCCTTCATTGAGAGAACAAAAGCATCACGGCCTCGGTTGAAGAGCTCTGAACAAAATGTGCCCTCACCTGGGTCAGCCTGTGAGCCTACCGTTTGCATCCTGGTGCTAAGCACCTCAAACTCACTTCTGTAATGCTCTCGAGGCGCGTTTCCGCTCGTCGCGGAAGAAGTCAGCTTGGGCTTTGTTCTTGGGATCCACTTCCCTGGTGGCTGGTTGCCTGCAATCTGCACGTGTGATGTGTGCTGCATATAATAAAAGATGGCGTTGTCGTCACTGTGCGCTGAAATTGTCAGATGCCATATATGGGCATACAATTAGTTCGAACCAGGAACATGACGACTGAACGTTTCGCACGAAAACTCCGGCAAAAAGAAATTCTGTCGTCTGGCTTCGGAAGACTTGCACAGGTTGCTCTTCAAATGGGCGTGCCTGAGCTCGCGCATGGAAGCCCAAACACGAAGAGCCTCGATGGGTGGCTCCTCCTCCTGAGAGCTCCCACTTTGCGAGGAAAGTTGTGTTCTGAGGGCTTCTCACCCAAACAACATGCTGATGCACACAAAACAGAGTCGTGGTCCATGCCTGACAGCATGTTGAATAGCTCTTTACGATCCTGTATTTCAACTACTTATTACAATCACTTCCATGCTCGGACCGGTTGAACTGTTGAACTGCCCGTAACGATCTGCTGTCAGTCATGCTTTACACCGTGCACCGTCGTTCCGGGCAGTCCTGTAACTCATCACGTCTAGCCAGGACTGCTGTTGCATCCTGCAGCCGTTGGAGTCCATGAGGCAGGCGCTTTACACTTGTGTACGAGTTAGAAAGCAACCAGGACAGTGACAACATCGAGAAATCACTGCACCCGGAGCTCTGCTTTTCTTTCTTGCACGCGCCTTCCATCGCATCCGCGGCCTCCGCAGCTCTGGGTCCGTCGCCATGAGCCGCTGGAGCCGCACGACGCGCTCCTCGTTGCCCACATGATGCCGATACGGAGAGTCTGCATCTTTCAAGAAGGCGGCATCTGCTCTCTAATGTCAGCTTCAATTGCTTCTGGGGGATGTTTCTGGAAAGTTCCGCCGGTATCCATGGCCGGATGGAAACAGATAAAGGAGAACAGAGCCGGAGATGCAGAAGGGGGCGGGGAGAGATCCTGACTCCGGCCTGGAAACGAGTTTGTGAAACGGAAACATGTTGCCGCAAGCTGCAAAAGGACACCCGCGCAGATCCGGAAACTAATGCTGTCCGAAAGTCTGCCCTCTTGTCTGCACGGTGCTTTTCGTGCTTCTCTTCCAGGCGTTCCATGACCTGAGCAGCTTACACAGAACATTAGTGGACCCATGTGACAATCGATGATCTGTTGGTGGTTCCCATACATGTAGACCACATAGGCAGTGCGAGGGTGTAATGGTCGTGCGCCTGTCGAAACATTGTTGGATACTTTGCATGAGGGCTGAAAACTTCCCTCCTGTTGCTTTTGACTTCCCTTCGAGGTGTAGCCGTCTAACTCTCCGAGTGGAGATGGTGGTGCGTCGAGCAGCAGTTTGGAAAACCTCGTCGCGCCGAACGTCGGACTTGATCAGCGTCCATGCCTGCATGTTTCTGATGGCAGGACCGCCCAAACGGCTAATGGCAACTTGGCAAAGTGATGAATCATGCGGTTGGCAAAAAGCAAATTCTGAAGAACCGCTGGGTTTTCCGAGACGCATGTGTCCTTCGGCCCCACTGCCGCCTCCTCGTCTCCTAGCATGCGAGCTGCCTCCTCGTAGGTGGTACCTGCAAAGCCATGCGCAGGTGACCACAGGAAGAGGCTCTCGCTTGCCGACCCGATCTCTGTCTTTTGTCTATGCAACGCCGGTCTGCCTAAAGCATCCGGATCTGCAAAGCGCTCTTCGACCAGTCGCTCGAGCGCTACGGCAGCATTGCGTGCTTTCGCCCGCGCCTGGCAACAGAACACAAGGCAAAGTCTTGCGATACATCGGCTAACGTCGGCGAGAGACAGGTGTACTGCACCCTTAAGAAACCTCATGCTCGGACTCTGAGTGCACTCAGGTGACCCACTCTGGACTCAGATGAATGCGACAGACGTCCTGCCCTCCCGCCCTTGAGATGGTTCATCGCCCTTGAGACGTGCGACATTCAGCCTGTGACGGCACGCTGATCCTGGCTGTTGGGTTTTGCTATCGACGATGCCTGTGAAACACCTGCACCGCCCACCGGGTTGAGTCTGGGTTATGACTGTTAGGCTCGAATGGACATTCTGCTTCGAGGTCGCCGACGGACGACCAGGGGAGAGCATGCAAGCCCTCAACCGGTCAAGCAAAGCCCACCGCAAGTGCGACTGCTCAACGGCTGGATGAGGAAATCGCAAGCGTCCACAGCTAGAAGCGCTTTGAACGAACTGGGTAGCCAGACTTTCGACCGCTCTCTGCAGGTCACGAAAGACACTATTGCGTAGTGGCTGTTGCGGGTGAACTGCCCGCCTCCGTCTCGCCGCGCTTGAGGGCTAAACTCAGAAGCTCCTCAGATTCTCGAGCCGCCTACTACACTAGCCTGAGAGTCTGAGACCAGTCTTACCAGTCTTGCCGGCCGCAGAGCGCAGGGTCTCGCAAGAACGAACAAGGTGTTGAATGCCGCCCGAGGATCCGCGAAGACTTGCTTCTGGACGGGCTCACCTAGCAGAAGCACCACGCCAAGACCACACTCACACTTCTTGCAGCGCTCTGATATTTGGTGGCCGGAAAAATGCTGCTGCCGGAATGAAAGATGCTCGTCTTCCAAGTCCGACCACTGGAACCCTCTTGCTCCAAAAGTCCTCGTGCAGACGGGCCGCTAACACCTTCGGCTTGGGGGGCGTCCCGGGCCAACTCTTGAACCCGTCGCCAGTCCCATGTTGCCTGGGTGAGCGGGAAAAGCGGCGAATGCTTCTTGTCCCGACCGTTTGTGCTGTACGACCACTGCATGGTGGTGTCTTGAAGTGCAAAATTTCAAAGCAGAGGGAAGGACACGCCGAATCAACGTTGCATCAATTTGAGAACTCAGTAAAATAGTTGCCACGCAGGCGCATCAACTTGCCGTTCCTTCAAGAACTCCTGGGCACAGTGTCAGTGGCGTGTCGCTGGATGTCGCCAGCAGAGGAGCCCCTTCCCTGAAAGCTCCTGGAAGGCTTGACGTTGCTCTGCACGAGTTTCGGGCAAGGGCCGATCGTCAAGTCCAGTGCTCTCGCCACGAAGCTTGCGCCTCAGGTTGGGCTCCGTTGAGGTTTCTTGGTGGGTGCATTACAACTTCATGCAACCCCGGCACAGCTCCGGCGGCATGCTCCAGCAGCTAACTTTTGTCTCCTGTCATCACGTGGCAGCTGCTGCGTCAACATGGCTTCTGCCGTCCCTGAACTTCACAGCCCTGGGCCTTGTTGTGGTAGAATATTCGGCCATCCCAGATCCTCAGATGTGCACAAGCAATCCAGTCGGTCGTGTAAGCCCAGGAAGCAGAAAAAACGTCAGCCAGCACTTGCAGCAACCCAGTCTCCGATACTGCTTCCATGCGGTGGAATTCACAATCCGCTCGCTGTCAGTCATCAGTGAATCGGGCTTCTCCCATTGTGAGACACCGGTCTCCTCCAGGCTTCAGACGGTCTGATCGCAGGAAGGGCTTGCATCTCGGTGCCTCCATGCCTTGTAGTTAAGGGGGGAAGAGGTGCAGCCGCAAAGGTTTGAAGAATTCTGGTCCCTTTATGTGCAAACAGCGACAGCCGTTGGATCCTGCCTTCGCACACCTCGTGGTTTCAACTGCTGGCTGATTGCTCGTGTTACTGAAAACGTGCAGGTGATCTCAAAGCGGTACAAGTGCAAATATGCATGCTCGCACATTTTTGGGGTAATGCTTGTTTGTGCTGCTACAACAAGAACGATATCTCGATGCTTTTGATCGCATCGCAACAGGAAGTTCATCGTGCCGAACTACACCCGCCCGACCTCATTGTGAAAGAACTTTCGACCATCTCCAGTTTGATGCTCACTCCAGCCCTGCTCGCTGCCGCCAGTGCCACCAGTGCCTTGCCTGAGAGAGAGAAAGAGAGAGAGAGAGAGAGAGAGATAGAGAGAGAGAGAGAGAGCGCGAGAGGGAGAGGGAGAGGGAGAGAGAGGGAGAGAGAGGAGAGAGATCGAGTCAGAGAGAGCGGGAGAGTTAGAAAGAGAAGGGAAGGTTGAGTGAGGGAAACTACACGAGATAGATAAAGATGAACTGAGTCTGCGAGTTTTGCTGTTCATCCGCGTCATGGACTTTTCAACCCCCTCAACCCGATTTGTCGCCAGGTGTGCAGGAGTTGTCGCTGGAGGAGGGCCGCTGCGGCGGCGCCGGCAGCTGCCGCGGCGGAAGGCGCAGCCATGGGACCTCTCGGGGCGACTTTGCGAAGAAATTCCGCTTGGGGGCTCGACGACCAAGAAGGCTGGATCATATGTTCGGATGCTGTTCACATTCAGTGGCTGTAATAGGTGAGGGTAGGTGGCATGATCAAGAGACAGTAGCAAGACTAGCAGCGTTCAAGAAAAATGGTGATAGTGGTGCCAACAGTGCGACTGCTGTGGCTTCACATGGGAGTTTCCGAAAATTAGGGGTACCTTATTTGGGGCTCCTGATAATAAGGATCCTACTATTTAGGGTACTATAACCCTAAACCCTAAACTACTATATTAGGGTACCTTATTTTCGGAAAAACCCACATTGTCTCTGTCCGCTCCGGCCTCAGCTGCGGGCCGTACCCGTAGCAGGGCTCCCTTTGGCTGGAGCCAGAAACAGGGAAAGCAGCGAAAAGCCGAAGCTCTGCGTCAGCCAAGGCTTCGTAAGAAAAGGCCGCTTCTACTCAGATGATTGGCATCTTCAGGGCAAGGCTGATCATCATAGCCGCAACAGCAAGAATGACAACAAACAGTCGCAACTCGCAACAGGACTTATTCTAATAGCCGGACCCCCGGAGTTCGGGACTCTTTCGGCTCGGGGTCTAGCAAGGATTGTCACCGCGTTGTGATGACAGTCCCATGCTCACCGGATTGTGCGATTGTGGATGCCTTTTCCCAGCTGCGCCAGCTGGCTTCGAGCATGGCAGGTCGTCAAATACTGGACTCTGAGTCTGTGTCGTCTAATCAGGTTGGCACTGCAACCCTGCAGCTTTCTGCAAAGCCAGGCCATCAACAAGAAAGGGGCTGGACCCGAACATTGTTGACGTTGCCTGTGTCTGCATGAAGAGTCGCTGTGACTAGCCCAGTCCCGGGTGTCTATGCCGAGAATCAGCAAAAACATCACATGTCTTCGCCCCATCGCCAGCTCCAACCGACGCCGAGGCTCCCTTTGGGGACCCTTGTCTCCGCCAACCTCAAGGTGTGCAGTCAGGAAGCTTATGGAAGCTTCTAACGGCTGGAATCGCAAGTTTCAAGGGGCGAACGCTCGTCCTCCTGGCAAATGCAGGCCTGGTGCAAAAGGCTTTGGGGCAGCGCGGAAACAGATGGAGTCTGGTGGCGCCAGCCCCAGCAGCCAAGTGTATGCACGTCGGAGCCTGACTCAACACGAAGATCTTCAATTGTGCGAGGCCTCAGTCAGCGTTCACACCGGAGACGCATGAAGAAAGCCTCGGGTATCCTGGAGTTCTCCGGGCCGGATCGAGCACCGGGCATTCCGAGCATTCCACCTGACTTGAAACTTGCAGCTAGCACGTGCTAGGACTCAGATGTGCGACTGTTGCCACGGCCTCTCCGGTACACCACGTGAGGACGACCGTCACTGTGCGATCGCCGCCTTCACGGGTAACCTGGAGCACAAGTTGCACTGGAACGGCCCCGAGCTGGCTCAGGCAGGTCTTGCTTAGGATCCGGGTTTATCGGCTTGGTCTCGCAGGCACAGAGGTGTTCGCGGTTGGTTAGGGTAAGTAGGAGCACCGAAGTCTAAGTGCTGCGTTTGCTCGAGCATGCCACCAAGCAGAAGCTGTAATCGTAGCTGACTCGTTGCATGCGGTGCATGTGTAGTTACACTGGTTGGCTGCCGAGCAGCTGACGAACCTGCAGAGCTATGCTTGCAGCTGTTTTTCAGCAGTATTGCCACCTTTATTGCGACTGTTACTACACAAGAGGTAGCGGTTTACCCTTTTATTCCGGTGTAGATTTTAGCACTCGCATCTCGATCAAGTCAGGCGAGTTTTGGGACAACTGCCAAGCTTCAAGCAGCTCGTCACGAGCCGACACAATTGTTGCAGAGGCTCTTCTCGAGCCAATCATGCAAGCTCAGACACGGTTCCGAGGCCCCAGACATCCCAGGAGGTTGCACGCGTCCGCAGTCGGACCTTCAGCAATTCAATCCGAAGCTCCTGAACCATCTGGAACCGCAGCTCATCGCACCTCCGATCCCGAGCTCTCGACAGGCCCAAAGACGCGTTGGCCTCGGCTTGGCGAGGCGGCCGAGTTCGACCTGACGGGCTGCACTCGGCTTCAGGCTTGGTCAGTTCCACTCTCACAACGTGGTGCAATGCTAGGTGCACCTAACCCCCCCCCCCCTATCTGCCTATTGCCAGGGGGTTTCCGCAACGTCCGGAAGCATGCGGGTGCAGTTTTCAAGTGACGAGGAAGACAGGGCCTAAAGGATCCCGTCCCAGCAGCACAGCACGTGTTGGCTCTGTGTACTGTCTGCTTTGCTCCAGGCTCTCCATGCTCTGAGCTTCGCGGCTCGAACCATTGCTGCAGCCCTTGCTGCTCAGACTTCTCGGACAAGCGCAAAGCAAAGCCTCCGAAGCAAGTCGCGGGAAATCCAGCAAAAGCTGCACGGACCGTGCAAGGACGGATGCACTCCCTCCCAGCCTTCTCCTAGAAGCGCCTCTCCAAGAATATCCTCAAGCATTGACGACGGTGGTCTTCTCGGTTTAGAGTCTTGACCGTCTACTGATCACCTGACCTTCCCAAACTCCCTCAAGGACAGGAATGAGGCAGTCCTCGAGTCCTGCACTCGTCCGATGCACGGCGAAGGGATAGGCCCTGTCGCCGCTCATTTGCATTCTCCGTATTTAGATCCCGTTGTTCCGCTTGCGTAACGCCTGGACAAATGGATTCTGAGGACGCAGCGTGCCCAGAGTGAGCCTGAGAGGCCGGAACAGCGGGTTTGGCCAGCCATGGGAAATGCCGCCCACATCTACATCAGGGCTATAAACAACGTCAACATTGTGCTTGCAAGTATCACTATTCCACTGCGAACAACACGATAACTGCAGCTTCTGCGGGCCGCGGCTCATGCACGTCAGCTTCTAGGTCCTGAAGAGCAGGGGAGAACAAACTTACTCACTTTCGCCTGTGTACTGCTGAGACCCGTTTCCATCTAAGGAAGTCTGATAGAGGGCTATGCCAAGACGTGTCCTCCTCTGGATCTCCGGCGTCTGGTAGTTCACCGAAGCCGTTGAGGGTGTCACCTCTGCTCTCACTGATGTTCTGAAACTCCTTCATCTTGCGCCACGAACCGATAGCACTGATCCTGTGCCGAGCACTGAAGCGGATGGCCATCAAGCACAGGCATTCACCGCCAATGCCTCGGCATGCAGTCTCATTGCAAAAGACGTGTGCGAACCGGCATTTCGAATACCAGACTGCGCTGTTAGGAGGTAGCTGGCTCTCTCCGTCCACCCTGCTCACAGATGCCAAGCTGCTTGGGAACCAGGAGCAACCTGGGCAAGGGCTGAGCCCATGTGGCTCTAGAAACTCAATACCGCGTCCAGAGATCCCCGCCAAGGCCCCGGCACAGCTGTGCAGGCCCCTGTTGCCCGAAGAGTGGGGCGAGTCGTGCGGACACGGTGACGGCCTGCGGCCGTGTATGTTCCCTGCTCCTCACTGACTCAGTCCTTGTATTTGCGGTATCTTCAGAGAAGCTGCGGGAGGCGTGAGCAGTCAGTAAGATGTAGAATCGAATAATAGAAGCGTGGAAGTCTTTTTCAGCTGCGGGGGCTCCGACTGCGTGACGCCGAGCGCCGGCTTCCACTCTGGGTGCCTGCCTTTCCGGAACCTGACAGGTCTCTTAAAACCTCGCCGCAATTCACTACGCGAACTTCCTTGCAGGTGGAGTCGCGTGCCGACACGATATGGTCTAGGAATGCAGAGCCCGTGATGAGGCGCCCCACGGCTGCATGGTCGCGGTCCAAACGAGGAGCAGGGGCAAGCGTCAGGATATAGCCCGCAAAATCCACATTTCGCGAGACCGACAGCATTCCGGGATCTGTGTGTGGCAGTCCTTTCCCCGTCTCCGTTTCCGGTTCACCTGCCAGGGGATCAGGCAGATTCCAGGCCCCGGGCGCTGCGAGTTCTCTTTGCTTACCCTACCCAGGTCAGCTCCGTCCAACAGCGCAGAGGTTGGCGTGATCTGCCTGAGCATACCAAGCATGCAGCCCACACGACCACGGTCACCAGAAAAGGCTGAGACGGATGGGCGGAAAACTCTTCTACTCGTTCATTGCAAGCGAGTGACGTGAGTCGGCGGTCGCTGAGCCTTCCGGCCGCGCAGTCCTCCAAACTGGATGGTTCTGCTTTGCTGCTCGCCGCCGCGACGATAGAAGTCTTGATCATATCTTCCCCCCTCTCTGTGCAAGACTGGCAAGCGGTAGCAGTAGTCTCGCAACAAATACACACACCCAGTAGGAAGCCTGAGCCGGAACCCGAAAGAGCGGGGGGAGCTCTAAACTTCAGGCCACTCTGCAGAAGCCGATGAGCTATAATATTAGTAATAACAATAGTGGTAATACCAACAGTAACGGTGGTATTATTAGTTCTCATGGTCATGATAGTTCTTGGCAGCCAAGGCACCTCCAAGAGGCGGCGCGCTGCTTTGGGCGCCGCCTGCGTGGGCTCTGCTTCTGAAAAAGACGTGAACGCTTGAAGCGACAGCCCACTTATAGCTCATTCTTGGTCTTCGGCCTCTGGGTACAGCTCAAACTCCAAGGCTTGCTGGTGGTCTACTCCGAAGAAGGCACCACGGAAGATCGCAATCCTTGCAAGTCTCGTACAGGATTTGCTTATTGTTTGTGCGTCTCACGAGAACAACTCTTAAGGGTGAGAAAACAGGCCAAGAGGCTCTAGAAAGATCTTTGGGCGGCCAGAGCAGGCGCTTTGGATCGGCAGTTTTGGGACATGCTCGATGCATGCCCGTCCCCTGCCACAAACCAAACGGGCGCCATCGAGTCACAGGATTTGTGGTCATCATAATGTAGAGGGACTGAAAATCAAGAGGGGGTCGATCACCACTCGCAGGCGAGCGTGCAACTTGCAGCATGGAGTTGAAATAAAGGCGTCACACTGCAAGCACGAACGTTCGCGAAGCTCACTGATCTGCTATGGACTCATGCGAGCGCACAATAGCTGGTTTTGCGCTCAGGCATGGGGTCGA